CGATATAACACTCTTCTAGTATTACTCTTCTAATATCTCCTGACTATATTTTATACCAGTATTCTTCTGGCTTCTAACATCATCTATAGGTCTTCACATTCTATTTGCCTTTAATAAACATATAGATCATATTTTGAGGGAAATGACACAGTTATGAATAATTTAAGATATCAATACCATAAATATTGAGACAAGCTAATTTAACTCATTTGTATGTTCAACATTCAGCTTGTTTTTAACAAACTTTTGACATTGGTACCTGAAAATTGAGAAGGTTTGTGATAGTGGTAGATGCTGGGACCATTAATTATTCAACTTAAATAATTCACTCCTTCATGGCTAGGCTAAAAATGATGTCAGTGTAACACCAAATTGCTCGTGGGGACAGATAGTTCATTCCAGTTCTATAGTTCTTGATTGATTCTATATGTAATTCATCTCGAGATTACTCTATGCATTTGTGTGGTAGACAATAATTCTAGTATGAATATCAATAGCTCAAGTCTTCAAGTTGATAGCTAGTACAAGATTTTCCTTCTATATTTTATTGAACAAGGTTTTATGATGGAATTTTCTATTAAATTCTATTGATTTCTATTATATAGACTCCAGTACTTCTCTCTTAAATACAAGATTTATATGTCTGTGATAATAAATTCATCTCTTTTTAACAATATTAGATAGGACTGATTATACTGCCTACTTCCCTCTGTCTTGTACAATATAAGATAGGACTGATTATACTGCCTACTTTCCTCTGTCTTGTACAATATAAGATAGGACTGATTATACTGCCTACTTCCCTCTGTCTTGTACAATATCAGATAGGACTGATTATACTGCTTACTTTCCTCTGTCTTCTGTCTTGTACAATATAAGATAGGACTGATTATACTACTTACTTTCCTCTGTCTTGTACAATATCAGATAGGACTGATTATACTGCCTACTTTCCTCTGTCTTGTACAATATAAGATAGAACTGATTATACTGCCTACTTTCCTCTGTCTTGTACAATATAAGATAGGACTGATTATACTGCCTACTTTCCTCTGTCTTGTACAATATCAGATAGGACTGATTATACTGCCTACTTTCCTCTGTCTTGTACAATATAAGATAGGACTGATTATACTGCCTACTTTCCTCTGTCTTGTACAATATAAGATAGGACTGATTATACTGCCTACTTTCCTCTGTCTTGTACAATATAAGATAGGACTGATTATACTGCCTACTTTCCTCTGTCTTGTACAATATCAGATAGGACTGATTATACTGCCTACTTTCTTCTGTCTTCTGTCTTGTACAATATAAGATTGGACTGATTATAATACCTACTTTCCTCTGTCTTGTTCAATATAAGATAGGACTGATTATACTGCCTACTTTCCTCTGTCTTGTACAATATCAGATAGGACTGATTATACTACCTACTTTCCTCTGTCTTGTACAATATAAGATAGGACTGATTATACTGCCTACTTCCCTCTGTCTTGTACAATATCAGATAGGACTGATTACACTGCTTACTTTCCTCTGTCTTGTACAATATAAGATAGGACTGATTATACTGCCTACTTTCCTCTGTCTTGTACAATATAAGATAGGACTGATTATACTACCTACTTTCCTCTGTCTTCTGTCTTGTACAATATAAGATAGGACTGATTATACTGCCTACTTCCCTCTGTCTTGTACAATATCAGATAGGACTGATTACACTGCTTACTTTCCTCTGTCTTCTGTCTTGTACAATATAAGATAGGACTGATTATACTACTTACTTTCCTCTGTCTTGTACAATTTCAGATAGGACTGATTATACTGCTTACTTTCCTCTGTCTTGTACAATATAAGATGGGCTGATCATACTGCTTACTATCTTGTCTTGTACAGTATCAGAAGGGACTGATAATACTATCTACTTTCTTCTGTCTTTTAGTAAGATATTATATTAATTATATGATAATTTGACTGATAGATACATTTTTGCCTTCAGATACATGTTGAAAGGGGTTTCATTTAAGTCTAGTCCTGAATCAGTCATAAGGGTTGGAAAACTTTATTATTTTTTGAGACAAAAGTTTTTTCAGGCAAATTTTTCTGCATTTACAATAATTGTAGCCACAAAATTCACGAGCTGTAAGACATGAAAAATATAATAACTGATAAATAGGATGTCACATCTTTTTGTAAACAATATTTTATCCGATTACAAAATTTTATGAAATAATTAAAAGATTTGCAAGAATATGATTATGGTCTTTACTTCGTGACATTTGAATTATATTGTTCAAATACACAAAATATAGACTGACTGATCTTTTCTAATTCTGTCGCATTCATGTGTATTGGATATAAAATAAATTCCAGAGTGAGATTACTCAAGATGAAAATAATGGCACTATTATCAAAATTTGTAATCAAAACTTTGTTTTGTTTAAGAGCATGTTTAATTTTTTTTCTATAGTTACTGACAACATGATATTTGCCTATTAAGATTACTAAATTAGTTTAATCTACTTTCTTTATTTGGAAATGACTGTAGAATGTCTAATCCATTGTCCTGTTTATTTGAGAATTGCCCCAGAATTGGGTTTAAAAGATCTACCTATGAATGTTTAAAAATCATATTCTTCAGGCTCCAGGCTATTTTGATTATATCTTATATCAGTTTATTGAACACATTTACCAGAAAAAAATATGGCTGCGTACGCTTTCTTCAAGGCTATTGATTGGCTAATGTTAATATGAAACATGTAACAAGTTTATTGATTGGTTGCAATAATTATTATAAGAAGATTAATTAGTACTAGAGTCATGCTTCTACAGAATGATTTATATGGATTGTGTATCAATTGATTTTATCAATCCCATATGAATTGCACACTGTCTGTGTACGTTTGAACATATACCATTAAATATTCACGTTTTACTCAATATATTCTTAAAGCCATTTACACCACATTTGTTAAAGATGAGAACATTCTGCTATCAAAGTCAAGAATATAAAAGGTTGATGACTTACTGAGTTCTGACAGCCAAAACAAATTATGCAGAAATAAATACAATATGGATGTAGAGTTTATACTTTTATATACATAACAATTTCAGCAGATTTTTGCCAACAAATGTTAGTTGTGAATATTAAAAGCTAGGCCAATCAACAATATATTATATATCACTTTGAAACTCTCATCAAATAACACCTTACAACATTCTGTAGCTGAGATGATAACCAGCTCACCAAAATGTACTGTACCAACATTAGTCAAAATCCAAAATGATCAATAAAATAGGACTTTAAGAACAACCAATTAAAATAGGACTGTATGAACAACCAAATAGAATAGGACTGTATGAACAACCAAATAGAATAGGACTGTATGAACAACCAAATAGAATAGAACTGTATGAACAACCAAATAGAATAGGACTGTATGAACAACCAAATAGAATAGGACTGTATGAACAACCAAATAGAAAAGGACGGTATGAACAACCAAATAGAATAGAACAATAGGACTGTATGAACAACCAATTAAAATAGGACTGTATGAACAACCAATTAAAATAGGACTGTATGAACAACCAAATAGAATAGGACTGTATGAACAACCAAATAGAATAGGACTGTATGAACAACCAAATAGAATAGGACTGTATGAACAACCAAATAGAATAGAACAATAGGACTGTATGAACAACCAATTAAAATAGGACTGTATGAACAACCAATTAAAATAGGACTGTATGAACAACCGATTAAAATAGGACTGTATGAACAACCAAATAGAATAGGACTGTATGAACAACCAAATAGAATAGGATTTTATGAACAACTGTTAATGTTTCATTTACTTTCTTTTGGTATTTTCATACATGAGGAAAGAATCTCCTCAACAAATTAGATATCTAGATTTGTACCTTATTCAGATTGATTTATAAAACTGTGTGAGTAAGTGAAGAATAAAACAATGTGCCTACTGTACTGTATGTAATTCACTATTTGTTATTTATAATGATATTTTGTATTGATTTCTGCTTTATTAAGTCTTTTATTGTAAAAGTATAATCTGTGTAATTGGAGGGTATTATTCAGGTTTCTATGGTATAAAATATTAGGTTGAATAGCTGGTACTTTATTGACGTTTTATTACTAATGGTGTTTACATGTTTATCTAATCAACCAACTCCATCAAGACATTAATCCGAAAATTGTTGCTACTTAAACAGCTTCTGAGAGTTAGTTTTTTTGACAGATATCAACTAGCAGGTGTCAGAAAATCTTTTCTGTTTTTCACTGTTTTTGAAAGCAACCAAGAACCATGATTGGTGTTTGAAAATAATAGCAACTATATCTTCACCCCTAGGAACAATTGGAAAATATTTAGAATAGCAGTTAAATCATACAAATCTGGCATCTTTTAGACCTTACAGTAGAGTAGTTCATTTGTCGAAAAAATAATAGGAAGTTGAAGATTACTAGGTTTAGTGATTGCCATATTTTCAATGTGTATACACTTCCGTTTAGAAATACTTGTAATATCAATCTGTGTTTTTTATTAGAATACCAGTTCAACTACTTGATTAGTTAGTTAATATACTTATTCTTTCGTATAACTCATTAAAGAGGCTGTTTAGTTTCACCTTCTTTCATATTCTTGCATATTCAGTGTTGCTCTCCCAGAGAAAAAGGGCATGTTACAAATAAGCAAAAGCAAAAAAGCCTTAATCAGTTATGCAATATATTTTATCATCTTGTTAAACTGAGGAGAGAAAAAGAGGAAAATACATCTTTAAAGAATATCAGCTGATGATTCCTTCTCTACCAATAACTGTTCCCTGACAAAACTTAATTGACCTATGACATTGATCTGTCCTGATTAAAAAATGTCCAAAAGAGTCAAATTATAGATGATTTTCCAGATCAGCGCATTTTTCCAAGCTGAAGTTTTATTCTTAATCTATTATAATTGTTGTCTGTTTATTTTCAGTTGGCCCATTCCAGAGTGATGCTCTACTGGTACCACAACACTGCGTATTTGACCACCATCATGATACAGATTTGTGTATGGATTTCGACTATTGGAATAACACTGCCAATAAAAAATGTCACGACCGTCATGATGGCAAAACATTGAAAGAAAGTTTTGCTATGTTATTAGAATGTGAACTTGATAAATTCAATGGTGTTGAGTTCGTCTGCTGTCCTGAAAAGAAAGGTGAGTTATAACTATATTTTGTACTTGGAATAACAGAACACTATTATATTGGATACTACACCTGACTTTAATGTGCACAACATTTCAACAATTTACATGGTCAACTTACAGGTATCTATTAAAATTATGTTATGACATGATATTTGTTTTGATCTCTACCCTTACAGTATTAGTGACAGGTCTCAATCGAATCACCTGCCTTTGTCAAAGAGCAATAGATAAGCTTATTTATTATCACATTTGTATGAGTTTAGTTATAAAGACACACATACATGCACTCTGACATAAATATACTGTATATAGCAATGGCACCAGTCCTGAAATATTTCTGATAAAAACAGTTTTAGAAATGTCATGGTTAAATAGCTTGGAGCGTTTTCATCTTGATAACTACTAGTAGCTAAATTGAGTTCCATTAGTTGTTATTTCTAGTCCATTACTTCATATTACAACATAATATTACCCTACATGTTTTGAAATGAGAGTAAACGTTCAGTAGCTAGTGGGACCAGACATGCTTACCCTGAAGGAAAATGATTTCTCTCTTTGGCTGATGTGTCAAGTCTTCATCCTTTTCAGACAATCAGCCTGTTTTTTCAAATAATGCTAAGGGAACCATTGCTAGAAAGGCAGAGCAAGTTCATATAACAAAACACAAGACAATATTATGGAATATAACACACTTCTTTAATAAGGTTGTCAAGAAGTGTGTTATATTCCATAATATTTATTGTCTTGTGTTTTGTTGTATGTACTCCTTGCTTCTTTTATATGTCGTTCAAATCTTATAACAGAGCAAGTTCAATCTTGTTAAATAATTGATTCTAATTTGCAATTGGGTTTGTCAACTCCCTTTCTAAGAATCCACATAGTTAATATTTATTATTTAGAAATGTAGTAAGAAAGATGATTTATGTGGTGTAATTTACTGTAAAAGAATGGAAAAATCAATACTTGATGCCATGTTTTTTCTTCCTCCAATATAAATCATTATTCTCTGGTGTATATAATTTTTATCGTGAACTAGAAAATAATGATGTCATTTTTTATTTTTATTCCCCAAACCATGAGTAAGTCTGATGAAAATATTATAAACTGATGGTATTTAAGATTGTGTCTGAGTATTTCTATATTCTTACAACTGTAAATTTATGATAAAATTGTTCATTGAATATAACTAATGAATTTGATTTGATAGAATTATTTCATGTCACTTTTAAGGGATTCAAAGTTTTAACTTTCTTCATTTATAAGTTAAACTTGGTCTCACTAACATTATTGATGTATAAACGCAATTGATCATGTGACAAACTGAATGAATGACTTAGTCATTTATGTATGTTTGTGGAGTCATCCTTTGCGTTTTTTGCTGTTTTATTTGATCAGTTACTTGAATTTGACACAAATCTTAGATTGCATCACTGTTTGGTTTTGAGGACGTCATTGTGCCGAGTGACAAACTACAGTTTAATGAAAAATATATGCCAGTTTGCATAACTGGTTCATTGACGGGAGTGATAGTAAAAATGTTAATATTCTGATTTCATTGCCATCAGATTATGATGCATTATTGCGAATATCTTTCCTTAAAGGCACAGAATTTCTATTGAATACCTTCAAATATTGTAGACTGTTTTGTACTTTCAAATATATTGTGACTAATTGTGTTTTTGTTACCAGATGAGGAAAAAAGCGCAATTAGTGAAAATGTGCTTTCTGTGTTTACCAAATAAAAATTGGCTTTCTACAGTTTCAATAGGTTGGTTATCCTTACAGAGATCTCAATATATCAAGTACTATAGTTTAATACTGTTACTTTCATCTGATATAAATTGTTCCCAAGTTAATTGAAATAATCTTGAGTACAATATAACTCACAATGTTTCAATGAGTAATTTAAATTCTCAGGTTTCACCGAATTGTATTGCGTAATAAGAAACATCCTGCCTAGTTTAAAAAAAACGAGGATGAATTGAGTGTGACTAAGTAAAGATATAATCAATAAAATCAATGAACTATTCTACCTCACTGTGGAGGAGAGCTGAGCAAAATGAATAATGAAAGTTTATGCTTGTTAAAAGGTGAAAGTAGACAAGTTTGGTTAGTAACTAATTGTTGTCGTTAGTTACCAGACAAATAGAGGAGAATATAATACAAGGTTACATGATTAGAACATACTCAAATTTCATTGCTTGAACCCTTATATTTACTATTAGATTAGCTTGATGGTCGTCTCTAATTCTTCATAAATTTACTTCTCAATGATTTTAACATGATTATTATATTTTAGATGATGATGTAGCTGATCCTCCATTAACTGTCTTATTGGTTCAATCACATCTAGTAATAACTTATCACAAATACAACCTCTGACTGCACTGTTTAAGAGTAACTTGTGATAAACATAAGAAATCATAGGAAAAGTTTTTTTTAAAAGGCATGCCCTAATGTGATATACAAAGAAGAACTTAAGAATAATTGGGGCCTAAATATTGTCAGAGCAAGGAATAATAATCATTGTACTTGACTCATTAGGTTCTCTTGTACCAGAAAAACTAAGATATACTTGTCTTACAGTGTGAGAGAATATTCAGTCTTCAATCATTCTGTCTTCTGATTTCCTATCGTTAAAAACATCTCAGTTCATTGTCTTTCAATGTAATCTTAACCATTCAGTATCTTTAGCATTAAAGTTTTTCAATGTAACATTATTGTACCTGAATCATTGTGTCATTGAGAGCAATAAATTTATATTAAGGGAATTTTCTGTGCCATATCATTCTGTTCTGACGTAATTCACCAGAATAGATTATCTAAATCATTCTGATTCAAGTCATCCATATGATTCCACAAGGTCTGTCATGGTTATGTAGCACATAGATATATTCATTATACTACACAATGATGAATCATTTGGTGTGGACATCATTCAAGCATTAATTATTATCTTCCTTATCCTTCTTTGAGTCATACTGACCTGAAATTTAACAGTAGAATTCACTGACTAACAAGATGAATTGCTTTAGTTGAGATTGATTTCAACCTACGAGATGTATAGGATGAAAAAAATTATATCTTGTGTCTTGAATTCCATGGAGAAACATACTGTCATCACCATTCTTTCTTTATTGTCCCTGTAGATAGTCTCTGAAGACTTGTGTTAAAGATACACACAAAATCTAGTCTGTAAGATAAACCATTAAATTCTTATTGTTATTTTCTATAGATGTCTTTTCTATGTATGGCAGTGTCTCAAAAAAAGACGACTCGTCTTTTTAACTTTCAAACTCAGAAAATTCTGGACACATATGGATTTGAATTTCTACCATGAGCTGTATACGCTATTACTCATTAGCTTAGCTAAAAATTTCTGTTTCTGAGACTGACGTATGATTGGTAGAAATAAATGGTGCAATTGTCCCTTAGATGTGTTAAATAGAAGAGAATGATACCTTTTCTTGTTAAAAGAAATTTAAAATAGAAGAAAATAATTGTAAATGGAGGCCTGAAATGTATAATTTTTCAAATATCATTTTCTCCTCAGAAGTTTTGAAACTGTAATAAAGTATCTAAGGTTCACAGTGAAATTTGGTTAAGTTGATAGTATATGTGTATCTTACAGTCTGTAAGTCTCTTGTGTTGGAAATTATCTCTCACATCAACTGAAATTTTCTTTTAAAATTGGTGATAACTTCTCTATACTTCAAGAAAAAATCAATGACAATTTCAAAGGCCAACATTTGTATGACGTGAAATTCATGACATTAATAGAAAAGTTCTTGTTAATTTGCTGACTAATAGCAAGATCTAAAGGATGTAGAAAAATTACATGTTAAAAGTTTTGTCATCCTATATAATGACGGAAACCACATTTAATTGATTGGAAGAAATTACTTTCACAAAATCTATTTCTTTGACATCTTGTTTATTTTTTAAGAAAATTAATTTTATTTTTTTGGGAAATGTTTTACAAGTGTTCAATGTTCAGTGTATGAAGTTTGGCAACCTTTCAGTTTTGTTGTTTTTTTTATTCATAAAAGAAGATTGAATTCTGCTGTGGAATGTTTTCGAGATACCTCCAAGATGCAGATATTTAAGTATTTTTGGTGTCAAAAAACTTGTGATAATTTAGGCATTTCATATACTACTTATTGCACAAAAATTGTGGTATAAAAGTAGAATTGAAAAAAAACTGAAAAAAAACCAGAAGCTTTTATGATAACATACAGTCTTCTTAACTCTAGTATCAAAAGTAAAATGATCTGACAGGAGTACCTTTACTTTCTGAGATCTATCAAAGATGTCTGAAAGATTCTGTAGATTTTTATTCTATGTTCCTTTTGTGCTCTGTAATGAATATCAAACAGTATCTTTGTAACTTTCAGACGAGAATTTTAAGTTTCACAGCACTTCTCTTTAATCTCATCATTGTGGTAAACATTAAGAGAACATTTCGTGAATTTTCTGTTGCTGCCTGGAATTATTGACGCTCAGGGACTTCTGGTTACCATTCTAGCTACTCTGTACCATGCTATATTTATTGAACATCAGTGTCTACTTGCTAAATAAGGTTAATAGAAATATTTTATGTGTCTATCTATAATCTGGAGGTGGAAGACATGAAGAAAATTAATGAGCAGACATTAATATGGTGGTCTTAAGACAAGTATAATAACTCAAGGCTTATTTTTAATACCTTCATCATCCTGGATCATATTTTATCTTCAATCACTTTATACTGGCATTATGGTCAATAACTTGGGCACTATCCGAAAGAGACAGATCCATTATTTCTTTTAATTGCTTCAGTGATGAAACTGAAAACAGTTATTCAAATTTAATCTTTAGTTATTAAGATGAAATTGAGGGCATTTTGGGCTAAAAATATTGATATTGCAACTCAGTTTCTGAGCACTGTGATGGTATTTGAAATCCAGTTTTGTTCTCATATCATTGCCATTTATCTCAAAATTCACTCCATTCTCAAGCACTGTGACAAT